TATGGAGTCGTTCTCTGCAATTACGTATAATATTCTTGCTGAAGAATATATATGAGCTTTTTAGTATCTACCAGCGACCCGCCTGTCTTCGCACGGGTGCAATGTTGAATTTCTCTACTATTTAATGGATGTTATTTTGAATAAAAAACCGAATGAAAATCCGTTGCGTAGTTTTAAAGACTTAAACATACATAGAGTTATAGGGAACAAGAAAGCGACTTTGTTTTTTACTATACAGTGATGTCGAGAATCAAGAAAATTTTTACAAATATCTACCATTTGGTTTTTCTGGAAAGAAATTATTGTATCCAATCAATGTAGCTGTCCAAATTTTAACGACCAATAGCGTGACGTCTTTGTGCGAGGCCCACACTAATGCCATCTGTTGAGTAAAAAACGGTAGCTGTGTCATTTTATACTCTGGCTATTATTGCCTAACAAATTGTGTAGAGATATGAAAAACATTTCAGATTCATAGAATCTATTAGTACAAGTAGTAAACATTATTGAAACTATTAGAAATGAAACTAATATGTTGTCTGCCTGTGAATCCGACTCGAATTTAAGCCAAGATTTATCAACTATAAAACAAACCAATTACACAGAATCTTCTGAAATCGTGGACGTATTATTCTAAACAAAAGATTATCATATAGATAAATTAATTCATTCGAATTAAAATCTAACAGTCCGCATAGGTGGAGAGTTACAAAGCTTAATTGAACAGGGTTCGGGGCGCGTGAGTAAGATAATCAGTTTAGACGTTAATGATTTCAATTTAGAAGGGCCAAGATGCAAATTTATTTTGTAATGCGGTGTGGGACGGTATGCCACGACACGTACAGGTCTGGGAGTGTACAAAAAAACAGTAAATCAAATAAATTAAGACCCTGGTTCTTCGACTCCTTTTTGTTTTGGTTTGTCTTACTTCTTGTTGATGATTTGTGTTCCACTACTTTCTCGCATCAGGGTAAAAGTTAGCATATGTGGTAATCCAGACTATATTTTATGTCTTTAGTTAATTCAATTAAGATTCGTTCATTTGTTTTAACATTAGATAGTAACAAACATCCATCTATCCAAACTTTAGAGTTCTTAATATATTCCATTACAATACAATCGGCAATGATAAGTATTTGTTACAATGTTCCTATATGTATACATATATAATGTGTTCCTCTACCGTCTCTTTGGATTAGGACGTATAATGTTATGTCTATATAGTATCAACCTTAAATTGGATAAGAAAAATATAAACTTAACATGAAATAAAAGACGTCTAGTATTGTTAAATAGCATTTAATTTTAACACACAGTTTCTTCGTTTGATTTCCTTCAAGCCAATCCAAGAAACTGCAATATTGCAAGGTGTGGGTCTGGCTAAAGTTCAAAATGTTATGATTTGAACCCACGACCTCAATCGTCAATCAACGCCTTTACATGTCAGTTGAGCCGCTCCTAAATTTACACGTTCATAATAATATAAACAAGCTACGATCGCGGCTTTGTCTGTAAATTGTATAAGCAATCATAAGTCACAAAAAGTTTATTTCAATCTAAGCCTTAAGCCTAATAAAAAAACTATATGTATAAAACAGATTTTGCGGTTGTTTCATAATGTAGGTGCACTTTAATTCCATTGTTTTACAAATGTAAATTTTCTAGTCATCGGATTATGTGACCCAAAAAGAAGATAAATATCAAAATCACGAGTATCCTCTTGATCCTAATAACATTTTCATCCAAATTTTAGTATCCATGGTATAACTTTATTTAAATCCTTGTATTTTTAATACCAACCTTGGATTTTTGAATGTTCGTAAGTTCATTTGTCATTTTCAAACGAATTGTGATTGTTTTTATTGGTTAAAATGATTGAGATTGAGGATAAGCGGTAAGTTGTATTCTGTAAGTCCTATCTAGGATATAGCCTACCAAATATCATTGTATTTGGTTAATAGACGAATATCTAAGCAGGTGTATTTTTTTAAAATTAAAGCACATTTTTTCATTTTTACTACTATGTTCTGTTTTTGTTACTCGACAATACGAAGTACACTAAAACTCAAAAAAAAAATTAACCAAAAGGTCAAATATTAACGCAATTTAATGAAGCAATGTTGAAGCAGGCAAAACTGCATCCTAAAATTGTCAATATAGATATTGCAAGAGCTTTATAAATCCGTCTAAAGGTACGCTTATGATAATTTAAGATCCATGAATTTTAGCTTTTAGACACGAGAATGCTAAATCAAGTAAATTCCGCTAATCTCTGGCGTGAAATGAACAGTATTTTTCCGGATTTAAAGTAATTTTGCGTGTTCATATTAGGTATCATGAGCTCCATTATGTATGGGGTGATTAAAATTAATTTTGTATCGTTTTAGTTACATTTTTTAGCGTGTAATTGGAATTTGAACTGAATAAGATATGATTTGTCATAGTTTTATTTATCTTTCCTGAATAGACGAACAAATCGTTGCTGTCAACGAAAAAATCTCGGAAAAATAACGACAATTCTCAACAAAAACAACAGTTACGGCAAATCCTGTGAATCCAGCCGAAAATAAGTTTACGTTTGCGCATCGCCGACTGTATAAAGAGGAGAGACAAAGGGGCGACGCGGGGTAAGAGCGGACACAGGGGCGAGGGCCGGGACCAGTTAAACAAAGACTCCGGAGCATGTCCACGAATAAGACTGTATATCAATCTCATGTCAGCAGACCTGCCCAAAACGACTGGCGAAAAAAAACGCAAGCCGCCCGCGCAAAAAATACGAAACGCCGGAAAAAAAATTTTTCGACAATGAACCCCTTTAAATTGTTGTGAGAACTGCCAATTAAAAATTGATAGATACAAAACCGTATTCGGTTGATGGTTTATTTGGGAAAATATTCGTCGTCTCTAGAAGCATTTCATCATTTGGTCGGTAAAGAAAAATTGTGTATCATTTTTTTAATAGAGCAAAGATTTGTGCAATGTTATGATAATTTCTAATTGTTAGTTCTTTCAGATTGCGTTAAGAGTACAATCTATAACATGCTTATGAACAACAAGTTGCATAAAAAAAAACTAAATAGCTACAATGTTTCAAAGCCACATAATGAAAGGCAATAACTACAAAACAAAACCTATCCACCCAAACAATTAGGTGCACTTTCGCTAAACAATATGAACATTTATTTTACATCGTTACGAATTACCTTAGCTTTCTACAAAACGACCAAAGAATACTTTTGTATGTAAATCCTGTATCAAACATAACAACAGACAATTAGCAATAAAAACGTTTTGAAAATAAACCAAAAAGTCACCTGAAGGACAATACAATAGTCGGCAACGAACATGCCAGACATCTCGGTATTAATTTAGTTCATGTAATTAGTATAGACGTGATGAAAATAGATCTGAACTAGATATCTGGATTGGTGGATCTTATTGTTGGAACTTTGAATCGGGCTGGGGAAGTTTTGGAACACTTTTTGCGATACATTTGGAAAACCAACATGTTGGTGGAAATGTTCGAGCAATATTGAATTTATTTATGATGATGATGATGATACCTAAACAACACATAGAATACAAGTTGTATAAGGAATTTATTTTCTTGTTTAGAATAGTTTCTTGAAAAAGTCTTTTTTAATTTTGGTTCTTTTTATTATATTTACAATTAACAAATTGAGTTTGTGCCTATTTTTATTGAAACCAGATTCAACCATATTTAGTAATGAAAATGTAGCAACAAAATTTTGAAATGAATTACTTACAATACAACTTTACTGTATGAAGTGTTGCACATAAACAGTTATGACGGCCATCGAGCCTCGCCTATGAGTATCATGACGTCTGCTTGTCCGGTTTCGAGTCGAGTAAAACGATAAGCCCTATCTGTAACACACCTCTTGGTTATATTCAATCGCCCACTAGCATGCCTTCTGGTGCCTAATGGGGTTTTGGACGAAATTCCTCTATAAGGCTTTAGCTTTCATTGATTTTGTCTAGACGGTTGAGTCTTGTAAGACTGTGTTTTAACATTTGAGTTATGTGTAATTTAAAAGCTCAGAGAAATTCTTTATCTGTCGTATGGCTACTCTTAGCATTGGAAGAAAAAAAATCGTGCATGCAAGTTTTTGCTCATTACTATTTGCACACGATCTGTAAGATTTTTGTGAGAAAACTTATAAAAGTGTCTGAAAAAATAACACTTTGTTACCATGTAAATGTAGGTGCAAAAAGACGTAATAAATGTGAACCCGATTTGCTTTTAAATAATTAATATTCTGCATTTGCATATAAATTGCTTGAGCCTCATAATCCAAGTCTAGTCACGAAATTAGGAAGCCATTTTGACGATCGACAAAAAGCATCAGTATATAATTACAGGTGAAATAAAAACATGTTGTTATAATGTTATTAAGAGAAAGATTTATAATTTGATCCGAGTTATTTTGGTTGGATATTAAGTTGATTTTAATTATGCAGTAGATGTTGAACATGCAATTTTATGTAATAATTTGTTTGTTAGAATTACTTTTAATAATAATTCAAAATAGATTTTTAATAAAACTGATATAAACATTGTTATTGATCGAGAGATGCTAACCAAATAGTAATTATGGTATTGAGAATATTCTCATTTTTCTTAACAAAAAAAAAAAATTATAGACCTGTTCATAATACCGTTTCTAACATTGAACATAAATAGTTTCCCAGTATAAAAGACAATACGAGCCGGAAAGTAAAATGATATCGATGCATAAATATTTACGAGGTCTATAAACAGCGGTGCGCTCAATTTCGCCGGGATGCCCACAATCTGGGAAAACTAAGACGACTAAAGTCGAATTTGAGGCAGAACAATGTCTCGTGTGTGCATTTATGTTACAACCTTTATTTACGTGATGTACAGAATATTCTTCGTAATAAAACAATCTATATCTACAAAAATTATCACTAAATAGTTTGCCTTCTATTTTACTGATGCTATTTGTCTTCACCAGGTCAACAGCCAGTCCGGTACAGCATCGTTTCCGGAGATCCCGAGCATCGGTTCACTATCGAGCCACTCACTGGAGCAATCAGAACTGCTGGACAACTAGATAGAGAGATCAGCCCCATTTATCTTCTCAATGTTAGAGCTGCAACTGGAAATCCATCAAGCTTTGATCAAACTCAGGTAAGAATATTTATTATGAGGTGTTATGAGTTTTTGTAAAAACTGAATTATTCATAACAACATTGCATTGTCTAGTTTTTGAAAAAAAAGGATGTATGAATGACCAGTATGTTAGCACGAGAGATTAACTTATTGAACCCAATTATATACTTACATATTCAAAAAATATTCCTGCTAGTATGCTAATCATCATTTTAATATTTATCATAAGGTCCAAATCACCTTAGAAGATGTAAACGACAACGCTCCAGAATTCGGTACATCATCTGTCAGAGTATCAGTAGCAGAATCAGCAGCTGTTGGCTCTGTGGTTTATGCAGCAAGAGCTACCGATGAGGATGATGGAAAAAATGGACAGATAAGCTACAATCTAGTCTCAGCCACGGGACCTTCTAATACATTTGCTGTCAACCCACAACATGGATTGGTTACGCTTTTGAGGTTAGTATTTTGGTTTTGAAATTAGATTATTACTTACTTCAGAGTCCAAAACTCAAAATATTGCGGCGCAATAAAGTAAAGAAACGGGGGTTTAAGTCAATCATAGTCTGAAATTCCTGCAAGTCTCACCCTGGATGAGAGAAGAAATTTTATGAGAACAAATACAGTTAAAGTAAATTATATAATTATGTATGTTTAAAAACTAGACTCTTATTAAGCCTATGTCATTTAAAGTAAAACTATGAAAAAGTCATATCAATACAAGTAATCACTTAAATTTTTGTACTCTACAGGTTACTTGATTACGAAAACCTCGTACGTCATACCCTGATTATCTCGGCAAGAGACAACGGCATTCCTAGCCTCAGTGCAAACTTGACATTGGTGGTGGACGTCCAGGATGTGAATGACAATACTCCGGTCTTTGAACATGAGTCATACAGTGCTAATGTATTGGAATCTGAAGCTGTTAATGCTAAGGTAAGATTTATTTTAGATAATAGAATCATAATTTTATTGAAAACAACTTATTATAGTGTCAGAAAGGACAAAACGTTTTGTAGAAAAGTAATAATTCCTAGTAGTTTATAGGGTGTTTTATTAGGGATTCTCAAGTGGGAAATAGGTTTATCAGTATTAAGAATTTCAAATTCTATGCCCCGAAGTCAATGATAATATTACAAAGAAAACAAAAAAAAAAGTATTTATTAATATAAGATATTGTACAAAATAAATCTAATAAAGAGCAACGGTAAAAACTAGTAACGGTATGTTTCAAAGCTACTAAACAATTTCGTAACATCCATGAAATAAAGTAGATAGACGGAAAAATATTATAAAATAATGTTATTGGCACTTAGGCAAGAATGCAAGAAAGTCGTATCAATAAAAGTACGGTACAATACCTACATAAATATGGATTAATCTCTATGTAGAATTTATTGGGTATCGTTTAACTTAACGATAATAATCAAAAGGTATCGGGTTCACGTGAACAGAACTAAAAATAAACTGTGTCATTTTTTTAACCAGAAATTAAACTTTGTTTTTAAGATTTTGATTTCGTGGTGGTGAGATTTTTTTTTGTTAAATTTACTTGTATTATTGGTAAATAATAACTTTTTTAAGCCATTAGTCGATTGCTGCAAGAACAAGTTATTATAGTTACAGTTTAAGTCTAATTCCTAAACCTGGAAGTTTTTCTTACATTCTCAGTTCGAAGTAATATGGTATCAAACACACCAAGGAGGTTCGAGGCGAAATACTTTTGAGATTTTGAAATAAATAATTGAGACTTTACCAACTCTTGTGACTTTTACTGCCTTATCTAATTAATTTGTTACGTTGTTCTCTAAATCGTGGAAGAGATAACATTAATGGGTCCTGTAATTAATTTGAAGTTTTATCGGTAATGAGTAATACGTTATAGTTAATGTACAAGATTTGATTGCTGTTTGTGCAATGTCCTGATTTCCTTTCTAAAGTAAATTTAATTAAGAATCAAGTCTGACACCATTTGTCTCAGTTTCTTTTACAATTTCTTAAGTATGTCCTAAATCAACATTAAACTTTATTAATTTGAATCTATTTATACCCTCAACAGATCCTTGAAATTCAAGCGATAGACAAAGACACAGGAAACAACGCACGCATTACATACAAAATAGCTGGAGACTCAAACACAACTGAAGATTACTTCAAAGTGCAACCAAGTACTGGTTGGGTGTACCTCGCAAAACAACTCGACAGGGAAACAACAGCACAACACAAAATGGTCATAATAGCTGTCGACAACGGTATCCCACCGCTGTCTGCAACCGCTAACTTAGTCGTCAATGTAATAGACGCAAATGATAATGATCCAGTGTTCAGTAAATCGGCGTATGAGTTCCAAGTTGAGGAAAATCAGAAAGCTGGCGCATTTGTCGGGAAGATTGCAGCAACTGATGCCGATTTGGGTGATAACGCTGTAGTGAGGTATAGCTTGTTCCCCTCAAACACGAGTTTTATCGTCAATCCTGCTACTGGTAAGTTTCTTTTAATTTTTATGCTTAGATATTTACAAAGCCCAGTGTTATGATGTCAACACTTTTTAACCTTAGTATATTTCTCCGTTATAAGACAAAAAGCTTCGACTTTTGTTATGATAAATTTCTACCAAAATTTGAGCAGTATTTTCATAAAAAATCTCCTCAACATATTCCATATAAAACTTAAACTGACTCGCCCTTTGAACCAAACATATTTATTCAACCATGTTTTTGCATATTATTCTTTCCCATAATCTCCTACGTATTATTCAAAATGAGAATAAAAACTCCGTTTTGATTAATAACTAACATTATTTCGTCTACCATTCAATGCTCATCGGATGTGACGTCTAGCCGCTATTTATCATTTTAATCCCCCAAAAGCTACCGTCGAATGTTGACCCGACAACAATGACTACTGACACAGCCAAGGTCGAAAGATTTCTCAAGTGTAGACCACGTTTATTTGTCATGAGATCAGCAGGCTTATAAGGCTTCAATGCACCTGTTGAAGTAAATAGTTGCTTACAATTTTCTCCCGTATTTGACGAAGTTATTGATATGGAGAAAGTTTTTTTCGATGAAACCTCAAATTACCTTGCGTTTGTACTGGATATAAACACAGCCCTTGTAAAATTTGGTATAGGTACAAAACTAGGAACATATCGAAAGTATATTACGCGAGTAAACACCGGCGCTACATGGATCATTACATCGTGTACAAAACTAACTAAGAACAATGATATTTTACCGTAATACCAAATACTTGTTCGTATTTGTTCAGGCAAGCAACTCCCAGCCGGCCACTTGCCCTTTGTTTAGCTTGCCGGCACTTTTGAAAGCTAAAACCCAAAGTATGTAAGTCCCTTGAAACTCATTGATAGAACAAACACACTGTATAAATACAGTCATTTTAATACCTGCACAATTTGAGCGTATGGGGAGCAGATCCGATGGCATTATTTATTTTCAACCTTCCCATGGACCGCTTTCTATGCTTCTACGTAATTAAGGAATTATTTCAAGTGTCTGCCCGGCAGGTTTTGTGGGATGGTATTTATCATGCGGTGTTTATTAGAATTGAATAAAATATTGTACGAAATCGTTGTTATCCCGCTCACGTGGTGAGGGTCAACTTAGAAATGTGGATTATCTCAGGCTTAATGAGTCAGCATCCGTTTAGTACGGTTGCACGATCCTGATCTTTGCACCGGACACTTTTGCATGACTCTGAGGAGTACAGACGCACTCCGTGCTACCACTTAGATTTCATCCACAAACCAGGAAAGGAAAAACACGTGCAAGTAGCAGCAAAAACTATTCCACATTTAACCTTATTTACGTCAAGTAAATTTAATAAGATATGCAAATAAGAATCCACAACCGATCTTATCCAAAACGATGTTTATCGTCGAAATCGTGCGAGTATTAAGCGTGGCATAAAAAGGGTGCTTGGCAGTTCGTTATTCTCAATAACTGACTGATGAATGGTGGAGCTTTTCGTCTCAATTCGGCTTATCGACGATCGCACCCGAACACTCCCGAGCTAGTTAGCAAGGACCGAGTGAGGGCTAAATTCGTAAATCATTTGCGACGTCTGTATGTGGCTCCTATTGGAAGATTGCTGTCTTCAACAGGTGCACCCACAATGTTACCAGAAGCAAAAACTCTGCCTTTTATGAGCATTGATAGCCGTCGCGTCGGTTCGTTTGTGATTGTTGGGATTTTCCGTTGATATAACTCGTTGTTAGTTGTAGGGTAATTGCCCTGAAAACATACCATTAAAATACATAATAAAAGAAAATCAGACAACGAGTACTCTTACCTTGAAAGTCAGACCATGTGCGATTAATATTAAAACAAATTATCATTTTATTGCTCCCTCTAAAGGTGGCTATGGATCTGCATGAACAGATATCGTTGCCATTTCATACATCACATATGAAAGCCGGTCATCATTAGTAATGCTTTGCTCGATGTTCCCACTGACTCATAATATTATTATACTAATAATTCTTCTGTGACATCCGACAAAAGTTCACGGTAACTGAAGACTTATAAGGATACAATAACGCTTGAACATAATTAATTGTGGGTGGACATGGATAGATTGAATCAGCGTCTTTGGTTTTTGAATTAAAAAAGACAAAAACGCAGGTATACTTTAATAAGGATCACTTACGCAGGAAAATACCTCACAGTGGAGAAATAGCCAATCAAATGCTTAAAATCAAACTTACTTCAAAGAATTTGGGCTTTTTGATCGGAATCCAGGAATCAATCAATAAGTTGACGGATTTTTTTATTCAAAAGGTCACGCCACCCGCCAGGTGAGATCCCACAACGGGAGGCAACACAATAAATTTATGCGCGTCAATTGCGAGTTATAAACGTCGTCGCTCGCGCATGCGCCATGACCCGCCATTAACTATTATTAAAATATTGCTATGTAGGAGCCTGGCTATTCTCTCCCATGTTTTATTACAAGCCTTACCAGTACTAGATACTGTCGTCGGCTATTTAAAGCTCATATGTTACAAATGTACGTGTAGGACGCACAGGGCTCTACAACTCGTTTTGTTGACGGATATCTTTTATTTTCATATGTTCTCAAATGAATTATAGGTGTAAAATGTTGCTGGAATCTTACTGTCGACAGAGTGCTATAAATTGCAGCAATAACAAACAGGGTTGAAATAAAAAAATAATTGTGATCGAAGATGACGCAGTTGTAAATGATTTTGCCTTTTGTTTCAACAGTACTAATTTTTTTATGAATAACAAAACTGTTCTGATTTTAATTTTTCAGTAGAATTAAAATCGGTTTTCTTATTTACATACAGTCGCACATGATTACAAAACAACTGAACAATAAATTCATCTAACAACGCACGTAACACCTAGGTACACAAATCACAATCTTGATTTAATAAATTAAACTCGACGATTTAAAGCTATACGTATTTATGACTCCGCCATCATGATCTCTGCCCTCCTCGCCGAGCAAGTGATACCTTACACCGCAACAATAATCTTTCTCTTACAAAAACAGAAATCAGAAATCGTGAAGAAAATATTAGCGTCTACCGCAAACATCGAAGTCAAGAGTGTCCAATATTTGCGGTCGATATAACGATGAATTTTTTCTTCCACAGTCCGCTTCCCATCGCTCATTACGGCGGTTTCTGGCACATCTTATTATCCACCCATAAATTCCACATTTACCTGATTCAAAACTTAACTGTGTTTCTTTTAAGTTCATTATTGATTGCATCAATGTTGTTTATAACAATATTCATTTCGCTATCCTGTTTCTGTCATCACAATTTTTGGGCTTTCAATATGAAGTTTCGGATAATCATAGTTATTCAGCCCCGAGGCGATCTCTTTTATGTACGCCTAATTTTAGGTTGAAGTAATCGATTTGAAATTGACAAAATTCTTTGGTTTTGTAGCGTGTGTTGAGAAGGGCTGAGTTGTGTTTAATCGTGTAGAGATAATTATGTTTTGCGAGTTGCAATTTTAAACCTGCAAGAGGTGTGAAGTTTAGTAAAACATTATGCAGGAAAAAATACTCTATATTACCTAATTGATATCATCAATAAATAACTATCTAATAAATGTCTCATAACCAAAAATATTTTGTTACAGGAATAATCACGACCAAAGAAATTCTAGATAGAGAGTTTAAATCTTCTTATTCCTTATTTGCTGAAGCAAAAGATCAAGGAACGCTACCTCGCTCGAGTAGAGTACCAGTTTCAATCAAGATCACTGACGTAAATGACAATCCACCAGAAATTATTGACCCTAGAGAAGATGTTGTAAGTGTAAGAGAAGAGCAACAGCCAGGAGCAGAAGTCGCAAGAGTCAAGGCTATAGATAGAGATAATGGAGTCAATTCTACAATCAAATATTCTATTCTTAGTGAAAGAGATATGGATGGTGTTGGTGTTTTTGTTATTGATGCAAATACTGGAGTTATAAAAACTAGTACAGGTAAATATAATAATCAATTGTAATTTGCGTAATGATTGTCGTCAAGTAAAATTTCTTCATTAAGTGTAGAAACAATATTTAACCAAAATGATTTGTTTTCAGTTCTAGATCATGAAGAGAGATCAATTTATCGATTGACTGTAGCAGCAACCGATGGTGGCACACCACCAAAACAAACAGTAAGGCAACTCAAAGTTGAAGTCTTAGACTTAAATGACAACAGACCGACTTTCACAAGCTCAAGTTTGTCTTTCAAAGTAAGTATTAACTGTAGAAAAGGGCTATAATTATTTTGATTTATAAGTAAAGTAACATGTACTAACATGATATTCTCCCTCAGGTAAAAGAAGACGCCAAAATTGGTCATGTGGTTGGTACTGTAGCATGTTGCGATAGTGACATCACCGAAAACTTAGTCAATGATGACGACGAAAAACAGATATCGTACCTTCTAATGCCTCTTACCACTGACCACGCTCCTGGTACTTTTGAAATTGATCGCCGAACTGGGTCGCTAGTTGTAGCTAGGCAGTTAGACAGAGAAATCCAAGATGAATACCGATTAGAAGTTAGAGCACTAGATACATCTGCAACTAACAATCCACAAAGCAGTGCCGTTACAGTAAAAATTGAGATTGTTGACGTAAATGACAATTCACCACAGTGGCCTCAAGATCCAATTAATATCGAAATCTCAGAACTTACCCCTATTGGAATGATAGTGTACAACTTTACTGCCAAGGATGCAGATGCTGGACCTAATGGAGAATTAAATTTCCGAGTTGTGTCATCATTACCTGCTACTAGAAATGTGTTTAATTTAGACCCACTCACAGGTTCTCTGACACTTACTTCTACGTTGGACTATGAGAAGTTAAAAGAGTACTGGCTAATAGTTGAAGCAACAGATTTAGCTACAAACGTTAGTGAGAGGATGGTTACCTCAGCTACCGTTCATATTTCTGTTACTGATGCCAATGATAACACTCCTACTTTTGTATCTGCGAAGAAGGCTACCGTATCACTGAATACTCTATCCGGAACACTTTACCAAGCATTAGCGATAGACGCCGATTCAGGAGAAAATGGTAAAATATCATATTACATATCAGGAGGTAATGACAACGGCTACTTTTCTATGGATTATGATATGGGCAAACTAACTTTGTCTAGTAAATACTCCCAAGATATATCGAGAGTAAGACCGGGACAGTATAAGTTAAATCTTACTGCTTCTGATCATGGTGTCCCGTTTCCGAGGCAAAGTCACATGACCCTGCAACTTACGTTGCAAGAATCAACCAACATACCACCGAGATTTACAGATTCTTACTACAGAGCTAACATTACAGAAGACATTCGACCAGGCAGTTTTGTAACTAGGTTGTCTGCAAAATCTTCGAGAGGAAGCGCAAGTAAGTTTTTAGTATTTTCATTATTTACTAATTACTACTACTACTACTACTAATTACACTATTCTGGTGAATCAAATTTTAATAAGAATTATTTTTTTCAGGCAATCTTACTTACATGATACCATCTGGAGTTGCTGATGATAAGTTTGCAATTGACGAAAGACTGGGCACAATCACTGTCAAAACCAGAATTGATAGAGAGGAGAGAGATCAATACATTTTCCCTGTCTATGTGACAGACTCTAGAACTTTTCAATCAACTACCAACTTTGATGTGGCTACGGTTACGATAAGCGTTATGGACGTCAACGACAACCCTCCAAGTTTCAAAACAGGGTCTTGCTATCCTTTAGTGGTTCCAGAAAACAATGAACCCGAAGTAATTCATACGGTAGCTGCTACTGATAAAGACATTGGCGCTAATGGAGTAATTACTTACAGTATTACGTCAGGCAACAATGGCAACAAGTTTTCAATAGATTCTACTTCTGGGAAACTGACAGCAAGAACTCTAGATCGTGAAACACAATCGAAGTATCATTTGACAATTACTGCTTTTGATCATGGTTCTCCTGTAGCATTACAAGGATCTTGTAATATAACGGTGATTGTTGAAGACCAGAATGACAATGATCCTGTTTTTGATACGGGTCATTATTCTGCTGCGATACCCGAAGATGCTATGATAGACACCTCGGTAATTAAAGTGAGAGCTACTGATGCAGATTTGGGTTTTAACAAACGTATTGTGTACTCATTGGCTAATGAAAGCCAAGGCCTTTTCAGGATCGACAATAAAACAGGAATTATTTTCACTACTGGGTAAGTTTTAGTGAAGTTCAACATTATAACAGTACTTTATTATTATTGTTCCTTGTCTTTAACTAACCAACATTTTTTTTCACTACAGAACTTTCGATAGAGAGAAAACAAGTGTTTATCATTTCGAGGCTGTAGCTACGGATGAGGGGCGATACATCACAAGATCTCAAAGGGTTTCAGTAGAAGTAACGATCAATGATGTTAACGATAACAAACCTATCTTCACAAAGTACCCATTCAAGGAACAAGTAGCGACACTAACACCGCCAGGTCAAAGTTTACTTAGAGTCTCAGCCATGGACAATGACATAGGCATAAACGCTGAAATACTTTACGAGCTCCTAGATACCTCAAATCACAAGTTCCGAATTAATCCTACAACAGGTGTACTTACAGCTACACAAAGTTTAGCAAGCGAAAACGGAAAATTGATACACTTAAAAGTGATTGCTAAAGATAAGGGTAATCCACCTCAGAGCTCCATAGGACTAATTGAAATACGTGTCGGCGATTTCTCAGATCAAACACCGACATTAAACTTCCAAAATGCAACATACAATGTAACTATTGAAGAAAACATGGCGTATGGAAAAGACGTGCTCCAAGTAACCGCAGTCAGGAGCGACGGGCGGCGTCAGCGAATAATTTATGAAATCGGCAACGGCAACGATCAGTACGCTTTTGAAATAGACTCTAACTCAGGCGTTATAAGGGTGAATAACTCGGCGAATCTGGATTATGAGTCGTACCCAGGCCCGCGGAGGCAGCTTGTTGTTGTTGCTCGCACAGAAGGTTCGCCCGTCCTATACGGCTACTGCGACGTTATAATAAATCTGATCGATCAGAACGACCACGCTCCCAGGTTTACGCAACAACAGTACATCGCGAATGTCCTTGAAGGGAACACTAAGGGCGAATTTGTTGTGCAACTCGCGGCTAAGGATGGGGATCGCGGTGTAAATGCAAGGATACTATATCACATTGTGGATGGAAATCACGATAATGCATTTATAATAGAACCGGCATTCTCAGGATCAGTCAAAACAAATATAGTCCTTGATCGGGAGATAAGAGAGACATACAAGCTGACAGTAATAGCTACTGATGAAGGCGACCCCCAGATGACTGGTACGGCGACGCTGAGGATCAATGTTGTAGACGTGAACGACAACCAGCCAACATTCCCACCACCGAACGTCATCTCAGTATCGGAAGGTACGTTTTTACTCGTTTACTCCGTATTCGCATTCGGGTTTTAAATTGCCGTTGGTCGGCCTATCGACTTTTCGAAATAAATTGGTAGAACAAAAAGCGTACCACAGAGAGGGAGGCATTTTACATAATTTGTATTCTCGACTTGGTAACATTGCGACTTTTCGATTCCAACGCCGAGATTAAATAAAAGGGACTCCTTTAGGATCAATATTTATTGGATGGTATTACATTTTTTCCGAATGCATGTTTTAGCGGTTCACCAACGGTCCGCGGCGTTCGCGTCGCTTTTTATTCGTTTTTTATATCATTGCAAGTCGACAGAAGTTTTGTTTTAGAGAAATTTTATTTTGGCGGATCGTTAAAACGGCAGTCAAACGAGACCCGTCAGTATATTTATTTTGTTTTTGTTTTTAGGAACGGAAGTTGGGACAGTGCTCACATCTGTTACTGCGAATGACGTTGACACATATCCGGCATTGAAGTACTCGATAATGCAAGGGGACAACAGTTTTTCTATAGACAGATACAGCGGAAAAATTGTGTTGAATAGGCCCCTTGACTTCGAAACGAAGAAGATGTATGAAGTGAATATCACGGCATCGGATAGCGAACACGTTGCCAAGACGACACTGACAATAAAAGTTACTGATGTCAATGATAACTCGCCCGTGTTTGATGATATCTCGTACAATAGAATCTTACCTGGTAAGTGTTTGTTATTTAAAACATCTACTTGAAATTTACATTATAATAATTTTAATACATACTTTAATACTACAATACAATAATAATTTACATTATAAAAAACTTTTTAAAATAATTTTATTTAAATGTAAATTTACAACTCTGCCAAGAGCGACCGAAACGACAGAGAAGAAGAAAGCAACTTTTTTACGAAAAAGCATACAACACATTATTAACAAATTGTTTTCTCAATTACAGAAGGCACTGATACTCTTGAAATCGGTTCAGTCAGCGCTAAAGACCGTGATGATGGAGATAATGGCAAGATCACGTATTCTATTCTTCGACCAGCAAAAGGATACTACATTGATGCAGATTCTGGAAGCATTTTCGTGAACTATAGTGCACTACCACCCAATCAGAGGGACACACAGTTAGCGGTTGTTGCTACAGATCATGGAAAACCAAACAGAAGCGCAGTTGCGTCTGTCCGTATTAGCACAGGAGCATCTTCAGAAATCAAACCATTCATTGGACAAGATACTTACAGGTAATTTAACTTATATATAATTTATTTTACGATATAACAATTTATAAGTTTCACAGCCTCCAAATTTAATAAACAAATTCATTAATATGTTTTTCATATTCTATTCCAGGATCACAGTGAACGAAGACACTGAAAAAGGTTCCACATTGCTCCAGATTGGTGGTATCAATGATGTTCTCAAGAAATACAATTTAGATATACACATCACATCGGGCAACGAAGGCAACACATTCGATGTCACTTTGGAAGGTGCACTGATTCTTCTCAATAATCTTGATAGAGAGACTCAAGATTCCTATGTACTCGGATTAGCTGCAGTTGAACAAGGAAAAATGCTGACGCACAATCAAAATAAGACTTCTATTACTGTATTTGTGACTGTAGCTGATGCCAACGACAACCCACCCATGTTTGCTACCAATGAACTCGAATTAACTGTAAGTGAAGATGTAAAAATTGGCTATACATTGACTAAGCTAACTGCAACTGACGCCGATCTCTATGGGACACCTAACGCTGCTATTGTTTACAACATCACTTCCGGAGATGATGAAAAGTTGTTCTTTGTGCATCCAACAACGGGTATTCTGACTGTCAATAAAAGCCTCGACTACGATATTGGCAACACTAAATACAAACTTGTGATTGTCGCATGTGATCAAGGAATACCGTCTCTCTGTAACGCCGTATTCATAGATGTTGCAATACTTGATGAGAACGATAATACGCCTACATTTCCTGTGAATGAATATTTTGAAAGTATTGGTGAGAATGAACGAGTTGGCACATCAATTTTCACAGCAAGAGCTACAGATTTAGACAAAGGCAGATACGGTCAATTGAACTACTCAATTGTAGCATCTCCAAACAATTACAACCGAAACGATGATTCCTGGAAAATGTTCCTAATTGATTCTTCATCAGGATTAGTCAATTCTAATGCTGTGTTTGATTACGAGGTGAAAAACAAATATGAATTTGCAATTAAGGCTTCTGACTTAGGTGGAAAAAGTACTACTGTTAAAGTTCGAATTGATATTGAAAGCCGAGACGAGTTCTACCCTCAATTCACACAGAAAACATACAAGTTCCGTGTACCAAAATCAGGTTCTCTCCCTGCAGGCTATGTGATTGGTCAAGCTACGGCCACCGACAGAGACAAGGGCATCGACGGAAGAATAGTTTATCAACTATCTACATCACACTCTTACTTTAAAATAAACAGAACCACTGGCGTAATCATATTGAAAAAGAAAGTTGATTCTGTTCAAAATCTTTTTGGTTCCGATAAGTCTATAAGTTTGGTGGTGACTGCTAGCTCTGGAAGACAAGGCTCGTTGACAAATAAAACTGCTGTAGAAATCGGTATGAATGACCTAGCACTGGCGTCAGATGCAAATCAAGTCAACGACGCTGCTGCAGTTGCTAGTGGAGGCCTGTCTGACTGGGCTCTAGGTTTACTAATTGTTTTCATCTTCATTATTATTATATTTGCGGCCGCATTCCTATTTCTACATATGAAGAATAAGAGACACAAAAAAGTCAATAAACCAGGACTAAGTTCAGAAGGAGTTGGAGCTACAAACAGCTATGTAGATCCAAGCGCGTTTGACACTATTCCTATCAGAAACACTGGAGCTGTTAATGCCAATCAATTCGCACCTCCTAAATATGATGAAATTCCGCCATACGGACCCCACACAGCGAGTTCTAACTCAGGAGCAGCCACTACTTCAGAACTGTCTGGATCAGATCAGTCAGGATCAAGTGGCCGTGGTTCTGCAGAAGACGGCGAAGATGGTGAGGATGAGGAAATAAGAATGATAAACGAAGGGCCCTTGCAAAGAGAAGGAATGCACAGGCAATCTAATGGAGTTGATGATGACAATCTTTCTGATGTATCAGTACATAATACTCAAGAATACTTAGCAAGGTTGGGAATTGTTGACACTGGAACTGGAGGTGGAGCATCAACTTCATCAAGAAGATGTTCAGAAAACGTAGGCAATAAAGATAATATGTTACATCATGCACCTATTGATTCAATGCATATGTTTGACGAAGACGGTGCCCATGAAAATGATATTACCAATTTAATATACGCTAAGCTTAATGAAGTAACTGGTAGTGAAAGAGCAAGCAGTGCAGATGAAGCTAGTGCAGCAGTTGACAGAGCAATGGCTTTGGGAGCCTTCTCCAGTGCTCCAGGAGACAATAACGCTGTACCTACCGCAGGGCCTTCCATGACTGGTAGTCTTAGTTCAATAGTTCATTCTGAAGAAGAATTAACTGGTAGCTACAATTGGGATTATTTACTAGATTGGGGACCACAATACCAACCACTGGCTCATGTGTTTTCTGAAATAGCTAGATTAAAAGATGATGCTGTATCACTTCAAAGTGGTAACAGCGCAGCTTCTAGTGCCAAGAGTAAGGGAACTTCGATTTCTGGAGGAAAAAGTGTACCACCACCACTACTTACCACCGTAGCTCCTCGAAGCTGTCCAGCACCATCATTATCTTGTAGGCAGCCGCAATTATTATTACCGAGGTCTCCAATAAGTCATGATGTTCCTGGCGGCTTTTCTGCTGCGGCCGCCATGTCACCTTCATTCTCACCTTCCTTATCACCACTAGCGACTAGATCGCCATCAATGTCACCTTTGGTAGGCCCAGGGTTGCCACCAGCACCCGCAAATAGAAAACCTCCCCACTCAACTATGAGAATATGAAAATATCGTAACGTAGCAATATTCAATTAATTACTGTATATATGGACGACTGTTTTGCCTATAGTGTAGTTAGTATTATTTATTCGGCCGATCTGATCGGCTTAATTCATTTTGCGCATATAGATATTATTATAAAATCGATCTTCACGGATATGCTCAAAGTGATTACTAAGCGCTTATTACCGATTTTTGCGGTAAATGTATATAAATAAAAAATCGGGTGTATTTTTTTAAGTGTACATACTCATTGTAAAAAATATATAAAGACTGCCATTTTTTATTATTTTTAACACAAATACAGCTTTACTTTAAGCTATAAGTATTATTTTTAAGGAACACGATCCTTGAATGATGTGTCAAATTGATTAAAATAATGTTTGAATGATTGTAATCGATTTGGTGAATCAATATAACTGTAAGCTTTATTACAAGAGGATGTATGTACTTGTATTGTAAATTCTGTCGCAAATGTAATGTAATTTTAGTTTTCAGTGAATTGAACGTCGATGTTTCGTTTCTCTGTGATTTTGATGATGCCTAAAGATTCAGTTCAGTTTTTTTGCTACTTTGCTGTTATATGACTTGTTTGTACTAAGAATCTCTTCTCTGAAACATCACTAAGAAGAATTTACATTGATTACAGATTAATTTTGAAGGATCCATATAACCCAATATCTTCTTATTTATTAGTCGTCCCATTGTTAGACACAGTAATTCGTCAAATATGTATACGACACTACAAAATAGCATACATAAGTAATGATATCAAAACATTATATAAATATAAAAATTCGTATCAAAAATTCTGGACTGATTACTAGAATATTGTATGTAAATAATAAACTTAATAAGTTAGTGTTAGACGCCACCGACTGTATGAATATTGTTTAGGTGGAAATAAAATTGAATTTAAAATCATAAAATGTTGTTTCTTTTTTGTAAAACCCATCTATAAGAACCTTTCTTAGTATTGATACCTATGATACTTTATTTTTTATGGTATAGGGCGGCAAACTAGCAAATGGATCGCCTGGTAGTAAGCAATCAGCGCCGCCCATGAACTCGCAACACCAAAGGATTTATGAGTGCGTTGTCGGCCTTTTAGGGATAAGGATCTCGGATATTTAAGGATATATAAGGCTATTATATAAAACATTGTGGCATGTGGCCCGTTGCAAGTACCAATCTGTCTTTTTATAAGTGTCATGTGCTAAGATAACATCGTGAGGAAGTCTGAACTTAATATTTCTTATGATAGGTTTGAAATCGCTCATCCATCTTGAACAAGCGTGGTGATTAATGCTCACACCTTCTCCGTGTGAGTAGAGGGCTTTGCTCAGCATTGGGTACTAGTAGGCTGATGATGTTTTATGATAATATCTAATATAGATATAATATCTAAATAATTATGATATACTTTGAATATTAACAAGAGGTAAAAAAGTTTGTATATCGGGGGTAATCTTTGAAACCTTCACTGATAGGTAGCTAAAATCTTTCTAATTTAGATAAGTTATAATCAAATGGCGCCGAGGAGCGAGTGAAACCGCGTGGGAGTAGCTAGCAAATATTAAGTATAAGGGTCAAGCCTAGATTATCCTACTCAGGTCAAGTCAGTTGACGATTTCCCGTTACAGAAAGTGTTTAAGAATCACATTTCTCAGATAAATGTATCTGGTTGATAGTTGCTATCCAAGTAATCTGAAATAGGCTAAAAGTCTAAGCAAAAGCGATTTAAAAGTTAAATTTAAAAAATACTTGGCACCAGTGATGCTGTTGCATACTGGAAGAGCAGACGTATACTGGAATGCATTTTGGTTCTTTTCCTGGTCTCTATCAATCTGATTGTATACATATTCTTTTTTTATGTAATAAATCGGCAAACGAGCAGACAGATTACCTGATGGTAAGCATTCAGCGCCGCCCATGGACACTCGCAACGGAGGAGTTCTATACAACATTGAAATGACACTTAATTTTTAAAAGTCTATCACTCTATTTCATATCAAAACACAATTAAAACGAACCTGAAAGAAAATGTTGTTTATTAAAATTGATTAATTTTAATACATACTCATACGTACTAAATATTTTAATAAGACAGACATGAGTAATTTCGCAAAATAATATTTTATCATATCAAAACCCCTGAATAGCCAACCCATGATCAAAAAATTATAGCTTTGTAAAACGAATTGCATCATAAAAATTGTCATCCCCTTAGTCAGTTTTTTATGTGTTATTGGGTGGATAGCGGTTGAAGTGATGGTAAGTAACCAGTGCCAACCATATGCACCTGCAATTCGGTCGAGCCAAACCATTTGGGCCAAAATATGGCTCTCTTATAGTAAAAATAGCATCAATCCATAAGATTGACACTGATATTTGATTAATTATATAAACCCTTACATTGACTCTTGAATTTCATCGTTTTTTAAATGAAGAAAAGTCCATGTTTTGCAAAATCACTCATCTCCGTAGTAATAAATTTATAGCTAAATTATGAAAAAAATTATAAATTAAATATTATTATCACAGTTGGAGCTACATCTACATTTTTGATACAATAATAGTTACCAACTTGTCATCTGGGTGAATATAGGTGTTTATTGCTTTTTATTAAGGTTAAAATCAATTTCAAAATTCAAGGCAAAACATATAAATGTTCAAATATTTGAAAAAGTTTACATAGAAGTGCTTGAAGGTAGGTATATAATAGAGATATTTCGAAAACGAATATCAAAATTTCAAAAAATGTTCATAGTTATGTTTAATATATCAACTGAACATTTCTTAAAAACGTTTTCATTATAAATGATTTTTATTTCAAAAAATGTGAAAAAAGCATGAAATAATTATTTTATTTCAAATTGACTTAGAGCTGATTTTTCGATAGTCAGATAAATATCTGAGGAATGAAAATGTTGCTGTCACTGTGCGAAACGCGACAACATCATAAACTCAGATTACTTTTATCTAAACATTGAAAAATCAGCCGTTTACCGTTTCTTTTTCTTCAACCAAGTAAGATAAGATTTTCTATTGAAATTCTTCATTAAAATTAAAAGAAATTATATTTTCAGTCGGTGTGTAAATTAGGAGGTTTACTGAATTACATAATATAATTATGTTTTATTTAAAAGTGGATTAAAATTGAGCAGCTACTTCTCAACCCGTACAGGAATAGCATTATACATAAAGCAATACATATATACTGTTTTATATCAATACATATATTATATAATTGATATAAAATGCCTACGAACACTGTAGCCCTGTTTATATAATATATATTTTATTAATGTCATTACAGAATTGGATCGATAAGTCAGATACATTCCCATTCCTAAATAGCATTATCGTGAGACATATACAATTTATTGCGAATAACGACTTGATAACTTGAAATTGATTGAGAAAAGCTCGATTGGTTTCAAGTCACACCGGAACTCTTATAGCAGTGTGTGAGTCACTGCAACGCGACGTCAAGCTTCTGATCAGTAGAGCTTTTCTCAGTAAATTCAAGTGAGTAAGTCGTTATTTCAATAAATTAAGTCTTTCCATATCAAAATTAATCATAAAAATTGTATCCATTACAATATTCCAGGTTTTATTATTATTGTTATTTTATTTAAAGATATATAAATAATGATCAAAAAACGGGCGTCATTTTTTTTTGTTACAATACATTATCTACATACTGATATTTTTAATACGGATATCAATTATAAGGCAACGTCGTCAAGCTTTTTTTTTTAGTAACTAAAATAATAGGTCTTTACCCATGAAATTGCCGTTCTGCAGTACTGGCCATTTCAAATCAAAATAGTTTTTGTTAGGCTAAGGCTAATTAATTTTGTATTAAAAACATGGGATTCTTTTCCCAAAAGTAGTCATTTGTTTATTGACAAGTGTTACATTTTCATCGCATTTCAAGTAAAAAAAAAATATTTTAACTTTCGTGAGACATTCTAAATTATTTATTATGTTTTCGGCTTACTCACGTAATAATTTGACGAGATACTCGACTAGTTTCAAGCCATCTAGAGGCCCATATTCATGAGCAGCATTCCGCGACACGCGACTCGGCGACCGTCGCGTGTTATTACGTGAGTAAGCCGAAAACATAATAAAAAAAAATGTTTAAATTTTTTCATGCAAAACGGCAATTTCATAGGTACTACCTATTATGTATACTAGAAATTTCTAATTATTTTTAATACATACTTGCAACGGTGACTACAAAACTATGCATACAACTCGCTCGTATTATTATCATTTTGTCGCTAAATTTAAAGTTTTTTTTTACTATGGTAACTGATTTTCTGTGATACCTTTTCCGGTGTGGCAACACTCAAAATGCCTGTCAAAAAGGTAAGGCCTTCACTGGTCAACCCTGTCTCTAAAGCCAAGTACCCACGTACGAACATAATTAATTATATTTTTTTTGCTTCTGTTACTTTAATTATAAATGTTTTAGCTGATTTTAGAGAAAAAAGTATGATTTTAAACGCAATAAATACTCAAGCCGGTACAAAATTCTTCTTTTTTTTAAGTTTTTGACAATTCGAAAACACCAAGAATCCCAATTTATCTACATTACTTATGTTTACATTATTTCTTTTGCAAAATACCATTGTTATGTAATTTTGGACGTATTGTTATTAAAAGAAATGTTAATTAAACTAATTATAAAATTTATTCGTACGTAAGAACGTAGCCCAATCATCCTTAAAATTACATTAAAGTGGCCTTAAGTTCTAATGAAGTGAATACTGAACGCAAAATCTACGATAAAATTTATGTTTTCATGATCCTTTTAATGCTAACTGAAATACTTCTTCATACAGAGTGACATAGTTTAAAGAACCTTTACTCATACATATTTCTCATTTCTTTTTACGAATAATGTTCTGAGTTTAATATAGTAGAAAACGCCCTACCAATAAATAATAGGTTTCATGTTAATACTGAAAATTTTCACACTAAAAACTATTAAAGAAAACCCCCTGAGAAATATACAGGAAAAACAAATCCAATTATTATACCAAACTAAGTATTATAACAACGCTCTCTATTATAATGTCTACACAAAAGTCCAATTGACTTTATAATCACCCCAATTCATCCATTGCCCACCATTAGGCATAGGCCCTCCCCACTCTTAAAAACATGGATTAAGGTCTAAATGGTATATTATTATAAGAAAATGATTATTTAAGGTCACTAAATCCGCTTAATGGCATCAGTATGGTTATTTAAATGCATATCTATAATAACTTCGTCAGAACCAATGGACTTTTTACTTGGGGTCACAATACCGATGTCCACATCCGTGTTGGGGGTCAACCCGTTTATGGGGTCCTGGAAATAGAAATTTGGGTGTAAGTAACGCTGTAAGTTTTGGTTAGACTTGGTGGCACTTTGTGTTGGCACCTTGAATGTTTATAAGAGCAACTTTTTGCATTATGTTGATAAAATGTTCTAATTCAGACAATGTGTATGTAATAGTGTATTTTCAAGATATTATCATTACATAAAATATTAAATTGACTGAAGTAAGTCAATCAGGTAGACCCGATAATTAAACAGTTACTCAATAGGCAACGTGATTTGGAAATATCACTACACTTTTTGGAATCTTTTCCAATGTTTTCAATCCAAAGAAATTTTTTGATCTAGTGCGCATTTCTTTTTTGTAATAAGTAAGTACTTTTAATCCTATATATTTTATTGACTAAAATGACATTTAAAATGTCTTACCGCATTTAAAGCGTCGCATGCCATCAGCTCGTTCTTCGATAGATGTTCCACCACTGCAGCTGCATAGCAGTCTCCAAGCATGTTGTTAGTGGTTCTGATACGGTCTCTGGAAAACATTAAACGTTGCCAATAATACTTTGAAGGTAATTAATTAAAAACGGCCTTTCTCAATGCACTTAGTTTTTAAAAGACATTTTTTAGACAATTATGGTGTTGAAACATGCAAATAATCAAGTCAATCTGGTTTCTTTTTGATATTATGATTTTTTTATTTCTAAATACTTTTAACTTCTAGAATTGACCCGACTGACAATAATAAGTTAACTCATGCGAGTAAGAGCTAATTTCGTTGAGATTTGGTGGGGATGTAGTTAAGGACCAGAAGAACTACATACGTTAGAGTAGAGAAGGTAGGGTATGTAAGGTAGGCTAAGGTAGGGCAAGTAGTGTAGAGTAGGTAAAGTACGGTAGGGTAGGTAGGTATTTTTTTCTCAATATAATAACTATTATACTTATTATTAAACAAAAGTACTCACACAAGCCAGTCTACAGCGAATAACAGAGACACATCATGCGCGGGCGCGTCCACCGCGGCCAACACGACCAGTAGTAACACCATGGCGGCCGATGGAACTGATGCAGATGATACTGATGCTGCTGTCGATGTCAGGCTGTAGATAAAATTAAATCACAGTTTAAATAATTCAGCCCATTGTACAACATTAAGATTTACAATCGATTAGAAATTGTAATAAATATTACAGGGTGAAAATATTTTGCAACGTGAAACACAAAAGGGATTGATAGATGTTGGCTCCTAGTAACTATCTCTCTTCTGCATCTTCTGCGTTCATCCATTCCTCGGATTCAATTCAACCCGTTACACGGTAAAGAATAAAAAATTGAATTTTAAATAAATACCGACGTCGGAAAAAATGGCATAATTGTCGATTATTTTTGCCGTATTATTGTACGTATCTACGAGCTAAGAAGCAATTTTATTGTTGAAATAGTACATTTAAACTTTGAATGTTAAAATATCTTAGTACAGGCCAATAAAAAAGGTATAAACTAACTTTTATAAAATTGATAAGCATACTCACAAAATAGTAGCCAGCTGAGCGAACCCAAGATGTATATTGTTCATCTGACAGACGAAGACGCTAGCAACTGAGAGGAATAGAGCCGTGCCGTCCATATTGATATTGCACCCGATTGGCAACACAAAGCGAGTGATACGAGGGTCCACTTGCAAGGGACCTTCCATGGCTCTGAAGGTCACTGGCAGAGCTGCTGCACTGGAATTAAGAACATTTCTATAAACAAGATTTTCTTTTCTTTGAAGATAACGAGGTTTTTGTCTAATTAATGATTCTATAAAGGAAATAAAGTGGTAAGTTTTACAATTAAGTCTTTTAGAGGGTACCAATCTCTGGTCATCAGATGGCGTAGGTAACAATAGATCAAACACTTAAAGCTGTCAAATATTGAACATCCAATGATATATCTAATTCCTTATCGTACGAAAGGGCGAGAAATCATTGAGTATTAAGTCTTCTATTCTAGGTCTCTTGGACGAATCAAATAAAAATCGAACCACAGCAGATAAAAGTTTACTGTATTTTAACTAGATTTTTGCTTACTGTACAAGAATCTAACTTAAACCATTTTATGCCATAATCGTAAATTGCATTCGATACTTTTACACTTGGCTAAAAATATACCTCAGCGGTACCAACCACATTGCATGTTAAGTGATTGAAGAAATCTATCAAACTGATATAAGGAAAAGCTTCCGTGACCTTCTTCAAGGTCATATTAAACCTTCATTTTATAGATTCTAAATCATGTAAAGTTGTTTGACGTCAACACGGGAATTAGCCACGCAATGCAGAGAACCAATGGATGAATAATAAAGGAATAAGTGTGCTTTGAACGGAATCGACGAAGGGTGTTTAAAATTTCATTTATGCAAGGGGTTGTCGAGGTATGATTAAATTTTAAATGAACTGCTTGATTCAAATTCGATTTGTTACGTTTTCTATGCAGTGATTTCGAGAAAACTTTCGATTACTGAAGGATTGTTTTTATGTAAACAGTATTCCAAAATCCACACAATAACCGATTTTTCGGAAACATCAAAAACCTCCTCCTATATTACTTTACTTTACCGACATTATGACGCCATACTTGGTACCTAGTAGCACTTTTATTCCCACAACCCACCTTGACCAGTTTCCATGTATACCCAACACAATTCCAAAATCAATGCTATACCTGTTTTTATAAAACATTAAAAAAGTCTTTATATGTAACTTTGCCTCCCAACCCCATGACCCCATACTCGGTAGTTTAACACTTGTGAACGACCAACATCGCCATTCTTCTTACATATCACGCTAAATTGAAACCGCGACATCCAATTGATTATTAAGTAACAGGTCCTTAACAGCAATCAATGGGCACATGGTTTTGATTGAGTTTCTATTATGTTCAATCAAACACAATCGAGTTCATTCATCTGTATGTACTACGTAATTAATAAACTTGTGTTGAGTTCAATTAATGGTATGTGTCGGTTTTATTGCTTCGTCATCACCAATATTATTTGTTTGTTTTCGAAGGAAATCAAAATGAATACCGAGTCTGCATACTTGTAGAGTTTTATTGGAATGAGTGCTTTTTTGTCCATTAACTGTTTCAGTGTTATTTGTTATTAAAACACTGAAACAGTTAACTTATTTGTTAACAGTCTCGCTTTGATTTCGCTTTAGGCATAGAGGTGAATTTTGTTTCACATACCTACATCATCTACGAGCCTTATTCTCTGTTAATTTGTGTTGATTTGAACTCAAACTAGATCCTCTGGTCGTGAAATGTATTCCAATTTAAATAAAGGCCGCATTTCCACATTTAAATACAAAAATGAACTTCCCATTAGTGTTTTATATTCATTAAAATTATTAATAATTTTAAAATATTATCGACAACTTACGTGGAAGCAGTAGCAGAAGCCGTGAGCATGGCATGCGATAGCCCACAATAGAACTTGTACGGATTCCGTCGTAAGAACAAGAAGTAGATCAGCTGCATCACTATTAGTTGATAGAAGAACACTCCTACAGCAACTGTTGCTATGAACCAAGCTAGTTGAGACATCACTGAAGCTGGAAACCAAAAGAGAAAATGTTATCAGAACTAGCCCTTAAAATTTTAGATTACTTGATTTGGGACATTTGACCTTGATTTGAGAAAAACTCTTGGTGAGTACATCATCAATATTTTTTCTTAAACCTAAGACATTTTCAAAATTTATTGTAGAAGTTAGCCAAGATTCCTTCCTATGCATTAGGTGTAATTTCAAAGTAATCAATGCATCACTAGGCACACAATATAATAAATGAATAGGTGTGTAAATTCAAAAGCGGTAATTCTTACTTAAAACAATTTTAAAAATGCTGAAGCTATTACATAAATATACATAGTTCATTTGTGTAAAAGTACGCCTTACTAGATACACTCGCGCGGTGCTACCTGGTGCTCGGCTCCATTTGATCGTAGCTTGATGTTTTATAAAACATTGTAGCTATCAGTGAAATTTTTTGGCAATCCGACCAGCGGTTCCAAAGATTACCCCCTACGTACAAACTTACAAATTTTATCTCTTTATAATATTAGTATACCTAGATTCATTTATCTGACTACTTAAAAACGCTCTTTAAAAAATAACAATAGATACAACTAACTCACCAACATCATTAACGCCAAGAATCTTCCCAGCTATCACGCTGCTAACTCCAACTGGAGTGAACCACATGACGCCAGTCACCATTTTCATGATCACCTCAAAAATTGCTTGGAAGAAATCTATCACTACTTGGCCTTTAGCTCCTAGAGTTCCTAGAAGACTCCCAAAAACTAGACAGAAGAAAACCAAGCCTAATGTATTGGTGCCTGATCTGTAAAGAGAATTTTACATCATTAGTACCATCAATAGCCTATGAACATTTAACGCCAGGTCCCTCCAAAAGAGTCAGGACTACTCCTACATAATAGAATTCATCCTTATCTACCCGTTTAGAAAAAGGGCTGGAGAAAAAGACGGCTTAAGAAATATTCTTTAAAAGGTTAAGACTACCAGAAGGCGCCGTTGGGCTGTTACTGGCGAATTTGTTGTCCCTTTATTTTAATGACACCCAGCGAAAAACCTAATGTACTCTGCTTTTCACATTCAGCTCAAGATCAGATATTAGGAATTTCAATATAATTAAACAAAAATATATATGTATAAAGTTCGTAAATTAACTTACCTATAAGCGACAACTCGAACCATTGGTACGGTGTCGTTTTCGCTCACATTCCGTCCAAACATCGCAGGTGCTTCTGTGTACACAGTGTGCGCTTGTTGGAAAGCCGCTTGTACAATATTATCCGGAAATATGTTCCTGTCAAGCATTGTAATTGGTTTATTGTCCATAACAAGCAATCAGGTTGAAAGAACTCGTTATCATAATGGGTCATATGAGATTAGTTTGGGAAATTGGTTTTTATGGCGAGTTTGCGATAAATGTAAAACCTCTCATGGGAGTCGTAAATATCGATAAAAAGAAAGGGATCAAATCTTATAATTGACGATTCTGATACAACAGGATAAAAGAAAATTATATGGAGCTGGTTTGTGACAGAAATTCAAGTTATTTCTTCAATTAAATATTTTAAGCTTATGAATGGAAATTACCAGCTTCAAGATAACCATCTGAGAATAAAACGTAAAACACATTATGGAACATACCGGCCAATATCCAAAATGCTGTCCAAAATACTATGCTCTCTCTTCCCCTCAACATAAGACCCAAATTGCTTGATCTCAGGCACTCCAGGGTGGATCATCATTGCCAAAAGCAGTCCCAGGAAAGCATTAAACATGGACGTCAAAATAAAATAAAGTAAAGTCCTAACTGCAATTTTCCCGCTCATCTTTGCGTTCAAACTTGCTGATCCAGCAATCAGGCTGGCTATGATCAGAGGCAAGATCATCAGTTTAAGAAGCCTCATGAATAGTTCTCCGGGGTAGGATATTATCATTAAGGCGTCAGGGCCTAGGTGATAAGGCCGAAGTCCAAGACCTAGAAAGAGTAGATTGAAATAGTTAAAGTTCGATTATCCGTACATGACAAATAATAAAATAAGAACACGTCGAATCCAGAAAATGCATTTGCCAAAAATTTTGAATATCCATCAAACATGACTGGGACTTCATGTTATATTTTACACTATTCAAACTTAATTAGTAAATATAGTGTTTTGATGGCAACATTATGAATCAGTAAAATTCTGTCATCACTTTAATAAATTATATGCTCTTTTGTTAAATATTAAAAATTATTTTCAAGTAATCATTGTGATGGAAAATATTTTTTATTATTCCATAGAAATTTTCAACAATATCGCACATTGTCTCAAACAGGAAACAATGGATAACTTCCTTTGTATAACAAATCAATCGATAATAATTTTCTTTGAAAGAAAAAGTATTAGGTACATTTCTAAACAAAAGCCGGTGTTTAATACAATTATATAAGTAGAAAATGAAACAATTGAATTAGCATTCTTAATTCTAACACCTGTCCGCATTGAGAATCATTGACCAATTCATTGTTCCTGATAGTAATATATTTTTCTTAAACTACTTATATTTTCTTTTGCTACAATTATTATAATAATGTACATACCAAGACCAATGCCGGTGATGACTCCGGCCAGGGTAACGACCAGCATCACATTGTCGACGAGGATCTTCCTGAAGCCAGTCCGTTCGACAGGAGCAGACCGGTCTTCTGTGGTCTTCGGCCCCCTATCTCCGGGGCCCATCTTCGCGAACAGATATTCTGAAAACCGTTCACCTTTCTCCATTACAGGTGAAATTGGACTTTGCAGCCCAGATCCTTAGGACCTGGTTAATCTAGTTATACCGGTATCACTTTTTCCCACTGTTTTTATTTTAATAATTTATTTATAATTCCAAAGTATATGAGCGACTGTTTTCGCTTCGTTTATTGCATGTTTTGTGTTGTCGCTACATGTATTAAATATGTTCCGAATTGTATTTGCTTTAAGATAGTTTTTATGTTCGTTTATTTAGGACGGTTCAGACATCCTTATGAATTGTTTTTACGTATAAAATTTCAGCGCGAGTCAGTTCTTTTGATCCGCGGTCCCTTAAGTCGGGTGGTACACTAACCCACAGTATATTGTCTGGCTCGGGATACACGATTCATATATAGCGTTTTTATCGTTTACATTGGATACTTGATTGTCCATTACCCCTCATGTTTAGTACATCTTATCATTTTTGAGCCTACAAGCAGCAATGTACACTGACGGACATTTACTGTCGAGTCTCCGGAATTGACGCAAGAAGCCATGTTGACGGATGCGCGCGCACCCATCGATTGCACTTCCATTCACTTAGTTATATTAAGTTTCTATAAATAGATTATTAAATTGTCAGCATTATGGTTTGTAGAAGTATTGTAGGTGTCTTTTATGTAATTTTCTTTAATGGGTTAACAATATAGATGGTACTCGGAAGAGTACATGCGCAGTGGGTCTTTACACCGTTGGCCATTTTTATTTTGGTTTCCTGGTCTGTGTGAAACTGCCTTAACGATATTGATATCGAAGTCTTATCTGGCAAATACTTTTATTTGTTATATTGGTACGTTTGATATTATGATGCAATTGTTTTCCTTTATCAAATAAAAATAAATGTTTAGGGATTAATTATAATGCAATGTTTGTCACATCGCAAGATAGCAATGACATTTGGTTGTTGCAATCCAAATTACATCATACGTCATATTATTATAATCAGTGTTTTCTTTGTTTAGTTTGATCTTATTAAGAACTCTGCAAATGGAAACTACAACTATGATAAATATTATGACATTTCGTAATAGAACAGTCAAATATAACTAACCATTGCACTAAATAACACGGCAATAAACTATTTTTTTCAATAACATTTTGGAAATTACTTCTCCCCTGGCGTCGCGACAAGCTCAGAAAAAGTTAGCTGGACAAGCCCTTTCAAGGATTCAGAAGTTGTATCTAATAACAAAGTAAATTAAGCATTATATATTATGTATATTATCCTTGCGACCTGCCCCAGCTTCGAAAAGGTGCAATTATGACACTAAATTTCTCACACTATTTAATTGATGATATCGTAGATATACCTAGACCTTCCTCTTCAATATATCTTTTAAAAAACCGCATCTAAATCCGTTGCGTAGTTATAAAGATTTAACCATACTTAGGGACAGAGAAAGCGACTTTGTTTTATACTATGTAGTGATTTCTAACACTGAAGAGAAAAAAGAACATTACCTTTAAAAGACTTGCTCGACATTATAATATCATTATTTAAAACAAAACAACATTGACAAACTTGGAATAAAAATGAAATTAATAAATTCACAGATAAAAACAAAATACGAGTAAATAAATTTATTGATTGATATTAGTAATATTTTGTAAAGACAAAACTCGTGATGTTTAAAACACAACTTTTTGGAAATTTGAACGTCTTTTTAAACCCACAACTTAGCATAAACTGAACCACCAAACATGTCAAATTGCAATTCTGAACTTGAACTTGGAATAATATTCCAATAATGAGTAATTTAAATGAAAAGTTGAGTACCTATCACATAAAAATAAACAATAGATTGTAATTTCCATTTAATGTAAAAGTATTGGAAATTAGTATTGTATTACATTTGATTATTTATTGACATTGGATGATAATGAAAATCAAAAATTTTATTAGTTTATCAATTTAGTATTGAATAAAAACTAATATTATAAATGCGAAAGTAACCCTGTCTGTCTTTTATTCAGGCCTAAACTACAGAACCTATTTGAGTGAAATTTAGTAGAGATATATATAGTTTGGAATTCGAGAAAGGACATAGGATAGTTTTTAAACCAAAAATCTGCAGGAAGTCACTATACCACGAGAACAAAGTCGCGGCATAAGCTTGTTTAATATAAAATAAAAAACCTTTAATATAAAATATAAATAAGTATATTATGTATGTATTGAAACTTGACCCACTCTTCGATTTTATATTGTGTTGTAGATGTATTTACAAACATACAATGCCACATAAACATCACAACCAGAAAGAATCTCACAAAGTGGTTCGTGCGGGAGTCGATCCCGCGACACGTCGCACGGCAGCCGGTTCAGTTACCCATCCACTGCATCAACTGTGCAGTCAAGGTCAAGAACAAGTCAACATGCGTTATATGTGTGTGTAAATCTGTATTTTAATTTTTTGTCCTATAATTTATCGATAAGACGAATTTAAGTTTAAGTCATGGTGGCCCGTAGATAAAGCTTGTCATGGATGAAGGTGCGGGTTCGAAACGAATAACCTAATGACCTGACTTTTTCCGAGTTATATGTACTTTCTATGATTATTTAGACACCACTGGCATACGGTGAAGGAAAATATCGAGGAGACCTACACTATAATTATATGTTGAAGCATAAAGAATAATAGTCAGTCAGGCATTTTGTCAGTAGAGCTAGGTGCTCGTTGAAAAAATTATATTCGAAGGAGGAAAACGAAAACCGAACAATAAACTCCATCGTTTCAATTTTACTGATACATACTTTTCAATAAATCAGAATGTGGGATGCTATCCTCAGTTAATCTGAAAGTTTGTAGTATGCTTGTTTATATACACAATGAAAAATTAAAACTTATACTAAGTGTGGTTTACGTTTCCTTTCGGATTAAATATACGACCTACTTGGTATTTTACATAATATATGTAACATAACTCCATCTCCATGATTATTTTGTTGTACTTTGGACAGTCAGAAATGTGGCTAAAGCCAGCTTACTATATTCTTCAACAATAAAATTGTCGCTTCTTTTTAAAACAATTTGTAACCATTTCCTCACATACGCTACAATTACTTTAGTTTATAGATTGAAAAAGACGTGGTGGCCCGGAGGTTAAGAAGCCCGCTTCTCATGCATGAGGGTTCGAAACCTGGCAAGTACCGATATGACTTTTTCAGAGTTATATGTACTTTCTATGATTATTTAGACACCACTGACATACGGTGAAGGTAAACATCGTGAGGAAACCTGGACTTATAATTTCTAATATCGTGGTGTGTAATCGCGTGTTGATTAATGCCCTAACATTCTCCGTCTGAGAAGAGGCCTTTGCTCAGCAGTAGGCACTTATAGGGTGATGATGATGATGATAGATTGAAAAGCCACCGTTGGAATGTTTGGCAAACGCAATAAGTTACCACGGACTCTGCCTGGTGCAACACAAGAAACCGTTAGTTTTTCAGAGCCTGATACTCCCTTTCGTATTAGTCTTACTCTGGGCGAGAGATGACACTAAAATAATATGATATCTTCCCGTTAAAAAATCGTTTCAATATTTATCGCTTTAAGTATTTCTCTCTAGAGTTCGAATTACGAATACGTGTACGTACCTAACTATTCAAAATATAGTAACTCTAAAATATTACATATTATGGATGAATGGAATAAAATTTCGTATAAATGGCGCCAATCAGACGGAAAATCGATTTCACACATGAACACCTGCTGGGAGAATTGAATGAAACAGATCATTATGAAGTATTGAACGGTTTGTACGCTTCAAGGTCATACCTTAGTATTGTATACCTAACAGTAATAAAATTGTATAACTGTTTGGTACCGATATCCGAACGCAACTTTGTTCCTTTAGCCCCTCTCCTCGATGACTGTACACTTTACTTTACGCCATTACACGAATTTGAAATCAAGCTGCATTTTAACTGTGCTCCTAAAAAACCTTCGCTGTAGGCAACTAAGTAGCAGAAACCTAACCCATATGTAGCCTGGAGTACGCCGCTACAATAACTAAGGGCTGATTTTTGAATTGTCAGATAAATGTTATCTGAGAAATAAAATTGTTGCTGTCACTGTCTTATAAAAACATTCTGCGGCGACAGCATCATAATTATTCCCCTGGTAACTTTTATAAGTTTTATAACCATTGAAAAAGCAGCCCTAAAGGAAGCTAGAAATTACTCGTATGTTTATTACCAAGTTCCAAGGTTTCGTAACTTAATTTCTAGGAATAACCATCACAAGTGTGCTTGTAAATTGAATTTTATTACGCCCCTGTAAGATCCATTTTTTGTATGATAAGGTGACACGCAAGTTGACGTGTGATCTCATGGTAAGCAATCGGTGACACCCATGGACATGAACGCCACTCTGGCTACCCAAGAGAAGTTACGAGTGTGTAGTTCTGAGTTTTAAGAAATGGGGAGAGATGGAGAGGGAGAAGATTAAGTCTTATCTTCTCCTGACTTAGAATGGAAATAGAAACATTTTTTAATCTTTTCTTTCTTTCTTTCTCTCAGAAAGATCTTGCTCAACAGTCCTACTTACGACCATATAACGAATATAAAGGTCTACGGTAAATTTAAATCTTTTCAGAAATAATAAAAATGTCATTAAGGTATTTCTAATATTTAATTTTGGCGCAGAAACTTACAAGATAGTAAAATCTAGGTAATCCAATTTTATTTTCAGCTTTTTAACCACTGCACTTAGATCTACAAAACCTTAAACTGCACTTTCCACATGTGAATGGACAAAGCAGGTGGCTACTTCCAAGATATTGAATCAATAAATCAGTTTCTTAATAAGGGTTGTCATGTCCGAAGCGCTTCGCAACCGAATACCGCAATAAATAATTTGCTTGACTTTAATATTCTGTTTGCTGTCACTACAGTACTTATAAGCCAAAAGAAAATTTATATTAATTTTATTTAAACAACTATTCGTTTATATTATTTCATGTTTATTTTTGTTTTTATGGGAGTAATCATTCAATTACTTCTCCCGCCCTTGGCGGCGCAAGAGAAAGTGTCAGAGTCTTATTAACTAAGAACAGAATCTACTTTTTTCAACCTCTTGCTCCGAAAAGAAAAGCAAAATACAATGTAAAGGCAAACTACACTATTAAATATAATCCCACTAATACATATTATAAAC